ACTTACATGTTTATTCTCCCCCTCGTCATGTCACGACATCCTCACGAATCTTTATCGATTGTATTTTCTACTTACATGTTTATTCTCCCCCTCGTTACGACATCATCACGAATCTTTATCGATTGCAAGAATGCCTCGTCATCGTCCTAATAATACAACAAAATGAATTTCAATCTTTATCAGTCTTACGCGACAACAAGTATGACCGTGTCTTAAGGAATAATTCGCATCCTTTCCTAAAATTCATTTCTATTTTCATTATAAATTTTGATAAGGAAGTGTGGGAAAACCTCTATATTGTTACATATCAGGATAACTAAGATAACCCGTGTGACTAAATGGATCATCATGGCTTATGCACTCTTTTCACTGCTACGCGCTGCTCGAGACAACAGTCTCAACATGGAAATAGGGCAATACACTGCCACCAATCAGAGAATATAAATGCACCGACCAATTTATTTGATTGACGGAAGTGTATTGCCCAATTTCTCTGTCGCGACTGTTCCAGCGCGTAGCAATGAAAACAGTGGTATTTTCAGACTTTCTGTGATTTTGGCGGGAAAATTCGAGCAAAAGCGCGCCTTCCTTCCCTTCTCTGGGACAACGTCTCTTGGTATGCTTTTCTAGTAATTCTTCGTATAATGATAGTCTGTCTTCTTACCTCCTCTTCATCAAAAATATCAGACTCGTCCTCAAAAATACCAGAAATACCTACAGGAGATTTCTGAAATACAAGACGAAAAATGCAAAGCAATATTAATACCATCTGGAACTCAGATTTTTTCTGAGTTCTTTCTTTTTTACCTCTCGTCATTCATTCATTTCACTATTACACTCGTTTTTTGCAATATATAATTTTTCAGTTGCGAGCAATTGCTGTCCTGTGTACAGCCGCTTCCCACCCCTCCCTCTTAAGGGGAAGAAACGAAAGAAACGGGGATGGAGCTCCCTCTAAGTTTTTCCTCATAATAAGGGTGAGGAGTGGGAAGCGGCTTTACACAGGCTAATTTTAATCTAATTAGCATTCGTCATCTGGTAAAGCACCTCAATAATATCAGTAAGTCTGTGAAATTTGAACATGATTGGATAAAAAGTACCAAAGTTACAAGCCTT